AGAGATGCTTGGCAATCGGGCTCCCACTGGGTTTCCCTGCCTGTCTTCCCCATCCCCCAAGCCAGCTTCTACCCAGCCTGTCCCAGCTCCCCAGGTCAGGGCTTTGTTTCAGCTGACCGCTGTGCAGGACACAGCCACCCTCTCCTTCACCTTCTGACTCGTCTTTCAAGAGTCACCTTCTCCCAGGACAACAGGTTGCTCTAGTTCTTGGCACCTCTGGACCACTCGTGTAAAGCTTTACTATTGCCCTCATCACTCTGAGTTCTCATTATCTGCTTTACACCCTGAAGGGCTGCGGCTCCACCACTGTCCCCAGGTAGTCCCAGTGTACATCACACAGGTGAAGGGCCGCTGGCTCTCTGATTCAAACACATCTGTTTGGTGTATTTCTTTTACATTACAGAGGGCAGCTGGAAATTATCCTGACATTCCAGTTACATACTCTGTACTTTACTTTAGGATCATCAATAAGCACCATCCCAAAGAATCAAAGTCAAGTGCAGGGAGCAAAAAGGGAAACTTTGGGCTTAGCAAAAAGCATCTGCTGATCCAGGAACCCTACCACTGGCTGCAGGTGTCAGGGAGGAGGCTTGCTTGGGGGACCTCCCAGAGGATTCAATCCCATTGCAGTGATGTCCATGCCTGCAGAACACCGACCACATCTAGAGGGAGAGCTGTGTGTGACTCAAGACAGGACGTAACGATGCACGGAGCTGTACGTGTGTCTGCAGTGAGACGGGCTTCCTCATCGTCTCATTTTATAGGGATGGAGTCTGTGTTCTCTCTAAGTGAGTGGAGCCAGAGCAGTCGAATATATCTTCAGGCTCAACTCTCAAACCGTACACATCATCTGATTATCTCTAAGGACCTTTCCAGATGTAAAATTCTCAGTCATCAAGATAAAAGTCCTAGTAAGTCAGCCAGGAAATGCTCTGGTGCCAGCAAAAACTGAAAATAACGCCCGACCCAATTATATCTGGCAAGACAAGGCGAGGTGAGGATTCAGGTGGACACGGTGCACAGTGATCCCTACTGGCCCCCGCCCATGGCAGAGACAGCGAAGTCACAACAATTCCATAACAGGCAGGCTGAGAAGCCTGCAGGAAAAGCAGGTTAGGTGCAGCCAACACCTGGTCCAGCTCAGTTTAAGGGGACCCAATCAGCTGAATCCCATTTCAAGTTCCAGCTTCTTTCTGGCCAGTCAAGACCCCTCAGAGACTCACACAGAAGTGTAAAGCAATAAGGCACGGCAGGCAGGACACAGGCTCCAGCGTCTGGCAAGCCTGAGCTCTGCTCTGACACCACCCACACTGCTCATCAGCAGACCTAAGGGCAGCGAAGCCACTTCCCTCCCCTGACCTCCGGTTCCCTCGTCCACAAATTGGGGAGGCCACCTGCTACCAGGGCCTGGTAAGCCAAGGACCTGACCCTCACTTCCTTCATCAACAAAGCAAGGCCAATGTGTTTCCCTGACCTCCCCATCCCTCATCGTGTGCCCTCTGTCCTCATTCCCTCTGCAAACCTCTCTTTCCCCTGAATTACTTCAGAGGGTGGCACATCCACGCCTGCCCCCAAGTCACCTCTCTCCATCCCTCACGCCTGGACAGGGACCAGGTTCTGGCAGCCAGACCTCTACGCTGCATCTGTGACCCTGCCCCATCTCTCTGCCATCAGCCTTCTTTAGATCGCCGTCACTTTTTTTTTTTTTTTTAAGATTTTATTTATTTATTTGAGAGGTAGAGTTACAGACAGTGAGAGGAAGAGACAGAGAGAAAGGTCTTCCTTTTGCTGGTTCACTCCCCAGATGGACACAGCGGCCGGAGCTGCACCAATCCAAAGCCAGGAACTTCCTCCGGGTCTCCCACGCAGGTGCAGGGGCCCAAGGACCTGGGTCATCTTCCACTCCTTTCCCAGGCCACAGTAGAGAGCTGGATTGGAAGAGGAGCAGCTGGGACTCGAACTGGAGCCCATAAAGGATGCCGGTGCTGCAGGCCGGGGCTTTAACTTGCTGCACCATAGCGCCTACCCTTCCTTGTCACTTCTTGGCAAACCGACTGCTACACAGCCTCCCTGCTTCACAATTATTTCAAACTCTGCGTCTCTGGACACAAACTTGTCCTTTCCCTCCAAACTGCTCTTTTCCTTTTTTTTTTTTTAAAGCTTTATTATTTCTCTTTTTAAAGATTTATTTATTTATTTGAAAGTCAGAGTTAGAGAGAGAAGGAGAGGCAGAGAGAAAGAGAGAGAGGTCTTCCATCTGCTGGTTCACTCCCCAGTTGGCTGCAATGGCCAGAGCTGTACTGATCCAAAGCCAGGATCCAGGAGCTTTTTCTGGGTCTCCCACCTGGGTGCAGGGATCCAAGGACTTGGGCCATCTTCTGCTGCTTTTCCAGGCCATAGCAGAGAGCTGGATCAGAAGTAGAGCAGCCAGGACTCGAACTGGCGCCCATATGGGATGCCAGCGCTGCAGGCGGCAGCTTTACCTGCTATGCCACAGCACCAGCCCCCAAACTACTCTTTTCCTTTGTCAACCCTCTCCTATGCATCCTTCCTCAGCATAAAGGTCTCTGTTGGGTTACCGGATCCAGCCACTTCTGAGTTCTCCTGCCCTTCCTTCCCCAGCTCTGATGGGCTTTAGACATACAGAATGCAGAAGCAGTCCCAGTCCCAATCCTCCAGGTGTCCAGTGATTATGGGGTCATCTCAAAAAAAATTTTTTTAAGAGGCAACAGAGGCCGGCGCCGCGGTTCACTAGGCTAATCCTCCACCTAGCGGCGCCAGCACACCGGGTTCTAGTCCAGGTCAGGGCACCGGATTCTGTCCCGATTGCCCCTCTTCCAGGCCAGTTCTCTGCTGTGGCCCGGGAGTGCAGTGGAGGATGGCCCAAGTGCTTGGGCCCTGCATCCCATGGGAGACCAGGAGAAGCACCTGGCTCCTGCCTTCGGATCAGCGCGGTGCGCCGGCCACAGCACGCCAGCCGTGGCGGCCATTGGAGGGTGAACCAACGGCAAAAGGAAGACCTTTCTCTCTGTCTCTCTCTCTATCCACTCTGCCTGTCAAAAAAAAAAAAAAAAAAAAAAAAAAAAAAAAAAGAGGCAGCAGAACAAGAGACAGAGAGAACATTTGGTTCATTCCCTAAGTGCCCACAGCAGAGATTATACCAGGACGAAGCTAGAAACTCAATGCAGGTCTCCATGCAGGTGACCCAACTGCTTGAGCTGTCACCACTGCTCCCAGGGTCCACATAGGCAGGAACTGCTCATCAGCAGACCTAAGGGTAGCTAAGTCACTCCTGGCTGGAGTCAGGAGCCTGAGCCAGGTATCAAACTCAGGACTCTGATGTGGGCTGTGGATGTCTTGAGCGTTAGGCTATGTATCCATGCTACAACAGCCTCCTGAGTGCTCATCTCTCCCCCAGCCAAGCATCCTTCAGGCCTAGAAGCCCTTTACCACGTGACCACAGCATACTTTCCTAAATTCACCTCTAAGTTCTGACTCTCCTCTCACCTCTAACTCTCTGACTCTGGCCAAACCAGTCCTCTCAGGCCTCCAAAGCCCCTTTTACTCACTTGGGCCAGTCACTGCCCCGTCCACACTTGCAGCCTGGACACCATCTCTTTCATTAAAAACAAACCTGGGGCCAGCGCTGTGGCATAGCGAGTTAAATAAAGCGCAGGCCTCCGGTGCCTGCATCCCATATGAGTCCTGGCTGCTCCACTTCCAATCCAGCTCTCTGCTAATGCACCTGGGAAAGCAGCAGAGGATGGCCCAAATCCTTGGGCCCCTGCATCCACGTGGGAGACCTAGAAGAAGCTCCTAGCTTAGGATTGGCTCAGTTCTGGCCGTCACAGCCATTTGGGGAGTGAACCAGCAGGATGGAACACCTCTCTCTGTAACTGTCATTTAAACCATTAAAACAAATCTTTAAAGACAAACAAACCCCGGCACTGGACAATCATTTCTTTCAGCGCCTGCTCTCCCAAAGCTGTCAAGACAGCCCCTTCACCTGTTCACTCCCTAACTGTACACATCAAGGTCTCTTCTCTCCAGTTCAGCATCCCAGTTCCATGAGGAGGCAACTCCTCCTGCTTCTCCTGCTTCCCCATTCCAAGGACTGAGCAGTCAGGTTGTGTGTCTCCATGCTCTACAGGTGTCACTTCACACAGAGGTGCTGGGTAGAGGACGACAGGCGAGCATGGGCGTGAACGGCCCTGCAGTGCAGACGCAGCTACTACCTGTGGCCCCTTCCCTGCTAATGATATGCTTGCTTGCCCACTCACATACTGAAGTGCTCCTTCTGGGGTTTTCTGGCTTCTCTCAGTGACTGACTCGCTTCCAGGGTCACACTCAGACCCAGAGTCAGCCAGTCTTCTCTCCCTCATGTTCCACACCTCCAAACCCATGAGCCCTGTGTCCTTCCCCCAAGTGTCCCCTCTCTGTCCCAGCACTGCAGCCCTGGATCACATCACCAGCTTTCTGGACCTAAAGCAAGGGTGGCCGATGTCTAGCCCAAGGGCTGTATAAGGCCTGTGAAACCATTTGATCTGACCCTGCCAAGGCAACCACAGGTGGGACTTGAAATCCAATAGTCTATAGCAGGCTAATTTTTAAGTTGATAACTTTGTATTGTGAATATCATAAACATCTAAATGGACCTTTGTGGAGGGAAAAAAGGTCCCTCACCCATGCTCTAAAGGAAACCAACTGTCCCCTAATTGGTTTTCTGACGTTGAGCTCTGCCCACCTCCAGCTTTTTCTGGGCGGGACAAAGCTCTCTGTGTGCAGAATGACTCCCTCTGTGACCAACACTGCTCAGTAGTGTCCCAGGCCTGCCACAGAGGGTGGCAGCCAAACCCTCTGCCCGCAAGTGGCAGCAGTAGCCCCGCCACGGCTCCCTTCTCCCTTCCTGCCCTAAAGTCCCAGACCCTATGTGTACCTGGACAAGCTGAGACAGGCCCCATCCATGCCCAAGCCCCTCCCCCTGGCTAACTCCTCCTCACCTCTCTCTCTTCATCTCCTCCAGCAGGCAGTCTGGGCTGTCTGTGCCCACCTCGGCTTGGGTTAACAGCTCCCTCTTCTGTGGCCTCTGTGTCAGCCAGAGCCTAATTGTCACAGCATTGGCTAGTGAGCTGAGATGATCCACACACACACACACAGTGTACATCATCACCTCCCCAGAGCCTAGCACAGGGCCCAGGACGCAGTGGCACAGGGAAAGTTATTCAAAGGAGAGAAACAAGACTCACTTCCCCTCTACCCGCTGGTTTCCTTGTCTTCTGACCCACAGCCTCCTGTCGGGCCTGCCGTTTCAGGCCTGCCACCTAGGGGCGGAAGGAGGGCACTGCGCTTCTCTCACCATTCAGCGGTGAATTCCATAAATTGAATGGGAAGGGCAAGTTGATGCCTGTGGGGGGCAGAGGAACGGGGAGTGGGCTCTGAGCTGGGGCATGGAGCACAAGGAAGTGATCCTTAGCTGGAAGACAGTGGCATCTCCCAGGCAGAGAGCGCGACAGCAGGGAGGCCTGGACTCTGGGGCACTGGTACAATGATGTCAGGAAGGGAGGGAGGGCTGAGTGTGAAAGAACAGGCAGCCAAGCCTAAGGAGCCCTGATTTTTATCCTTTAAGTCACCTGAAGAGGCCAAGAAAATTTGTTTTTCAGGTCCAAAATTTGCAATCAGGAGTGGCACTGCCGGACCTGCCCTGACAGAAGACAGTTGGCAAGGGGGTGTGGAAAGCCAACTTTGCTAGACATGGCAGCAGGGAGCAAGAACAGCCGCGAAGCAAGCAGCAGAAGCCAGGAATTTCTTAACCGGCTCATTTTCCCCTTGCTGCACTATGGCCTCAGACTCAACACAGCTAAAGTAAAACTCTGCTCCCTCAAAACCAGTGCTTCAACCTCAACACAATTTCCTTGCACACTTAGAGATGTTAGGCTTCTCAGTCTCTCCATGGACCTCAAAATGGTAGTTTTAAAGCAGGTATCAGGCCAGAGCTTGGCCTGTGGCGGTTCGATGACAGCTGAATGGAATCCCCAGAAACACCACCTGCTGGGCCCCTGTGGTTAAGATTGAGTCTGAGAGCCTGAATTCAAACCCCACCTTGGCCACATTAGCAGAAGAGCACATCAGGCCACGCAGCTGAACCTCGGTTTCCGCATCTCTAAAATGGAAATTACAACAGCACCTACCTGGAGGGCTGGAGTCAAGCACAGTCAGTTCTCAATAAACCCTGGCGCTGACTCCTGCCAGGCGCCAGGCCACGCACAACGCTAGGGGGGCCAGCACCATACCGCCTTCCTCACTATTCTGTAGCTAAAGCCCAACACAGTTCATCTCAAGGTCTTGGGAACACCTCTCAAAGGATCAGAGAGAGGGCTGGAGGAACTTTTCCTGGAAGATCAGACACTTCAGTGAGACAGCAAGAGAGACCCCACCCCCTGGGGGGGAAGGCATCTGGCAATGTCTGGAGACATTTTGGATGCTTGCGCTGGGGGAGGGGAGAGGCGGGGTCGCTAAAGGGTAAAAGCCAGGGATGCTCTCAACTCCCCACAACGCACAGAGCAGCCCCGGCCAACCAAGACCTGACCCCAACCATCCCGAGTGCGGACGCTGCGGAGTCAATCCCATCCCCATTTCTGGAACACTGGCCGTCCAAATCCCACGTGAGGACTCACTCAGCGGGAGATGCGGCGGCGGCTCTGTCCCTCCAGGGACGGCCGTGCCCAAGTTCCTCTCCACCTGCCGGGCACACAGTAGGTATCAAAGACCGTTTTAATAAGCCTCGCCACAGCGGGCACCGGAAAAGGAGGGACGAGCATCCATCCATTGTTCAACTGCGTGCAGTTTCGTGTTCTAAACACACACACATTTTACAAAAACAAACGTCCCACGCCCCACGAACAGCTTTGTTAAGAGATGGCGCTCAAAAAAAATACGTTTTTTCCGCCTCAAGGGCTCCCCTGCAGATCAAGGGGTTCGCACACTTATAAAAGGGCCGCGGGCCGGCCGCCGGTCCTCTGACAACGGCCACAAAAGAATCTGTGGGATTTCCCAGGGGAGCGAGCCGGTGGGCCGTGACCTCTGCGCGCTCAAAGCGTTCTCCTCACTCCCCCGCCCCCGGATCCCGGGCTTCCAAGGCTACCGGAGCCGCGGCCGCGGAGCCCGGCCCCCAGGCGCGTGCCCACGCCGCGTTCCCCTCGCGGCGCCCCAGGAATCCGGCCCGGGGCCTGCCGCCGGCGCCCACATTGGCCAGCCCCCGCCCGCCCCGCCCGGCGCGGCCCGCGCGCGTCCCCTCCAGGCCCCGGCGCGGCCTGGGCCTCGACCGGTGCAGGCCCGCGGGCGCCCGCGGCCAGGCCAGGCCAAGCGAGCGCAGGCCTGCCGCGGCCTACCCTGCCGGGCGCCTCCAAAAGCCCCCCTGCTTCACCTGGTCGCGGGCGGGCGGGCCCGGGGCTGCTCCGGGACGTGCGGGCGGCGGCTGCGGCGAGGCGCTAACGGCTCCGCTCGGCCTCGGTAGCGGTGGCGGCGGCGGCAGCGACGGCGACGGCGGCGGCTCCTCCTCAGCGCGCACGACCCGCTCCGGCCCGCGGCCCGGACACGCCCCCCCGGCGCGCGCGCCTATTGGTCTGCGTCCGCCACGGCGCGCCGCTCATTGGCAGGCTTGGCTGTCGCTGCGCTCCGGGGCGCGCGGAGGAGGCGGGACTTCCGGTAGGCGCCGCCTGCGAAGGCTCAGAGGCCGGCGGAGACGCGGGTGGCCAGCGATGGCCGCGAAGGGGGCGAGTAGGGGCCTAGCCCAGGAGGCCGACTCGAGGTGGTGGGCGAGGAGCGGCGTTCCTTGTCGAGCACTTGCCTTGTGCCTCACACCTGTCTGCCTCGCTGCAGCTGCCGCCCAGCAAGGTAGGAAGGGTCGGCGGGCCTTGGCTGTGGGGAGAAGACCCGGGTTCGAATCCCGGCCCGGACGTTGCCCACTGCTGCCGTTGGCCAGGGGCTGACGTCACCTCGCCAGGCCTCAGTTTCCTGATCTTGCGCGGTGGGGAGGCGGGACAAGGGAAGTGGTGAAGTGCTCCAGCAGGGCTGGCTGTTAGGGCCTCACGTTTCTTCACTTAAGTTGTACTGAGCACCTGCTGTGTGTGCCAGTCCCTGTAGGGGCAGTGAGTGGACAAAAATGCATGCTATGAGAAAACCATGCATGGATTTCAAGACATTTCGCGCCAAAATAAACTTACCTCTCAATTCCACTTTCCCACTTCTTGTTTTGAGATACCCCCTGTATGCAAGTCACAGAGGATAATTAAAAAAAATTTTTTTTTCCAATAGCTAACATCCTGGATCAGCTCTGTCCAGGAGAAATGTAAGTGAACCACAAATGTGAGAAGCTTGTAAAATTTAGTTATTAAGTTATTATCCCCTCCTTTTTTTTTCTTTATAGTAAAAGAGGACAGATGTGGCACAGCCGGTTGAACCTCTGTATCGGAGTACCTGGGAGGGAGTCCCCAGCAACTCTGCACCTCCCAGCCGACTTCCTGCTCATGGACACCCTGGGAGGCACCAAGTAATAGCTCAAGTAATTGGGTCCCCGCCACCCACATGGGAGACCTGGATAGAGTCCCATGCTCCTGGCCTCGGTCTGGACCACCCCAGACTTTGTGAGCATCTGGAAAGTGAACCAGCTGATGGAAGATCTCCTTCCCTCTACCTCTCCCTCTGCCTATCAAGTAAATAAGTTTTTTTTTTTTAATTAAAAAAAAAGAGCAAAAGAAGTAGGTGATGTTAATTTTTAAAATAACATGTTTTATTTGGGGCAAGCATTGAATGCAACATCTTAAGTCACCCCTTGGGATGTCCCATACTTTGATGCCTAGTTTAGTTCAGGCTGCTCTGCTTTGCATCCAGCTTCCTGTCACTGCACATCATGGGAGGCAGCAGGCGATAGCTCGGATATTTGTATCTCTACCACCCACATGGGAAACCCGGAGTTCCAGGCACCCGACTTCCACCTGGTCTGGCCCTGTCTAACCCTAACCCTAACCCTAACCCTGTTGCAGGCATTTACGGAGTGAACGAATGAATGGAAGATCTCTGTCTCCACCTTTTAAATAAAACGAAGAAGCCTGGTGCTGTGGCATAGAGAGTAAAGTCACCACCTGCAGTGCCAACCTCTCATATGGATACTGGTTCAAGACTCGGCTGCTCCACTTTTGATCCAGCTCCCCACTGATGGTCTGGGAAAAGTAGCAGAAGATGGCCCGAGTGCTTGGGCCTCTGCTCCCCGTGAGGGAGACCTGGATGAAGATCCTGACTCCTGGCTTTGGCTTGGCCCTGCCCTGGCCGTTACAGCCGTGTGGGGAGTGGAACAGCAGATGGAAGGTCTCTCTCTCTCTGTCTTTCCCTCTCTCTCTGTAATTCTTTCAAATAAATAAATAAATAAATCTTTTTTAAAAAAGATAAAAATAAATAATGTCTTTTGCTTAACCTAATGTGCCCAAAATGTAGTCAATGTGAAAAATTATGAAATCTTTTGCATTCTTTTTCTCCCCTGTGCCTTCAAAATTTAGTGAGTGTGGGTTTTTGTTTTGTTTTTGTTTGTAGATTTATTTATTTATTTGAAAGGGAGAGCAACAGAGAGGGAGAAAGAGATCTCCCATTCGTTGATTCACTCCCCAAATGGCCTCAACAACCAGGTCTGGGCCAGTCTGAAGTCAAGAGCCAGGAACTCCATCTGGGTCTCCCACATAAGTGGCAGGGCTAAGCATCAGGCCATCTTCTGCTGCTTTTTCACACACATCAGCAGGGAACGGGATTGGAAGGAAAGCAGCCGGGAGTCAAACCAGCTCACCGATGTGGGATGCTGGTGTCACTGCAAGCAGCAGTTTAATCTGCTATACCACAGTGCCGGCCCCTGGTGTGTATTCTAAACTCACGGCACATCTCAAGCTGGACTGGCGATATTTCCAGGGCTCAACAGTCACACGTTGGCCAGTGGCTACTGCATTCAAGCATGCACTGTTAGGTGGGGAAAGAGAAGAGCAGTGAAATGGATTCTACATTAAGTGGTAAAAAGTAAGAAGAGGGAGCCGGCGCTGTGGCGTGGCAGGTGAAGCCGCAGTCTGCAGTGCCAGCATCCCATATGGCTGCTGGTTCTAGTCCCAGCTGCTCCACTTCCCATCCAGCTCTCTGCTATGGCCTGGGAAGGCAGTAGAAGATGACCCAAGTCCTTGGTCCCCTGCAGCTGTATGGGAGACCCGGAGGAAGCTCCTGGCTCCTGGCTTTGGGTCGGCATAGCTCCGGCCATTGCGGCCATCTGGGGGTGAACCAGCGGATGGAAGACCTCCCCCCCACCCTGCCTCTCCTCTTTAAAAAAAATGGTAAGAAGAGGAGTAAGTTAGGGAAAGAGTACAGGGGACATGAGAGTTGATTGTGAATGATTGGAAAGGTGGCAACCATGGCTTTTGCAGAAGGAGCTAGTGGAGTTGAGGCCGCTGAACAAATCCGAGATGATGGTTTTGTTCTGTTTATTTTTTTAAGCAGTGCCCAGAAGCTCATTTTTTAAAAACATTTTTTTTTTTTAATTTATTTGAAAAGCAGAGTTACAGAGGCAGAGAGACAGAAAGATCTTCTCATCCGCTGGTTCACTCCCCAGTTGGCTGCAACATTCGGAGCTGAGCCAATCCAAAGCCAGGAGCCAGGAGCTTCTTCCAGGTCTCTCACGTGGCTGTAGGGGCCCAAGGACGTGGGCCATCTTCTGCTACTTTCCCAGGCTATAGCAGAGAGCTGGATCGCAAGCAGAACAGCCGGGACTCTAACCAGTGCCCATATGGGATGCTGGCACTCCAGCTGGCAGCTTTACCCGCTGTGCCACAGCACCGTCCCCAGCTCATTTTAGATATGTATTTTTCCCCCTTTATTTGAAAGGCAGAGAGACAAATATTTTCCGTCTTCTGGTTTGCCCCCCAAATGCCTGCAATACCCAGAGCTGGGCCAGGTTGAAGCCAGGAGCCTAGAACCAAATCTGGGTCTCCCACGTGGGTGGCAGGGCCCAACTACTTGAGCCATCCTCCACTGTCTCCCAGGTTGCACATTAGCAGGAAGCTGGATCAAAGTAGAAGAGCCGGAATTTGAATCGGGCTCTCCCGATATGGGATGTGGGCATCGCAGGCAGCAGTGTGATCTGCTGTGCCACAGTACCTGTCCCGCAGGGCACACTTTGGAAGGAAGTTACTGTGTGCGCTTAAGATCAAAGGAGTGGGGCTGGCTCTGTGGCACAGTGGGTAAAGCTGCCGCCTGCAGTGCCAGCATCCTATATGGGTACCGGTTCGAGTCCTGGTGGCTCCACTTCCGATCCAGCTGTCTGCTCTGGCCTGAGAAAGCAGTAGAAGATGGCCCAAGTCTTTGGGCCCCTGCACCCGCATGGGAGACCTGGAAGAAGCTCCTACTCCTGGCTCTGGATCAGCACAGCTCCAGCCATTGTGGCCAATTGGGGTGTGAACCAGCAGATGGAAGATCTCTCTCTCTCTCTCTCTCTCTCTCTCTCTCTTTCTCTCTTTGTGTAACTCTTTCAAATTAATAAATAAATCTTTTTTAAAAAAGATCAAAGGAGTGAAGGGTTATGATCTCTGTGCAGATTATTTGGAGTCCTGCATAGGAGGTTTATGTCCTCTCCTCCATTTATCAAGTTTATCCAGCCATTTCACGATGCCAGTGTGGACTCCTGGGTGATTTCATGCTTCTGTATTTCATTGTTCACACTGTTCCAATCTGGCCATCAGGAGCTCTTTGGCCCTTATGGCTCCTGGAAGTACTCTGGCCAACGTGTGCCTTTGGTTTTCCCCTTTGGGACACTTGCTTACTTCCTGCCGCTCTGGGGTGCCCCAGGCTCATCTTGCGTATTTCCTGCCTCTGTCCTAGAATCAATGAGTCCTTTTTCCAAGGAGCCCTGTTTCTTTTTCCAGAGGTTGGTTTTAGAAACCAAGATCTGGTGGCAGCATTGTGGTGCAACAGCAGGTTAAGCTGCTGCTTGGGATGCCTGCGTCTAATATCAGAATGCTGTTTCCAGTCCTACCTGCTCCACTTACAATCCAGCTTCCTGCTAATGTGCCTGGGAAGGCAGTGCATGATGTCCCAAATACTTGAGTCCTGCCATCCAATGTGGGAGACCTGGATGGAGCTCCTGACTTGGACCTGCCTAAGCCCTAGCTGTTATGTGAACCAGTAGATGGAAGATCTCTGTCTCTCTCTCCCTTTGCCTTTTTTTTTTTTAAACAGAGTGCACAGTGAGAGAGAGAGAAAGGTCTTCCTTTTGCCATTGGTTCACCCTCCAATGGCCGCCACAGCCGGCGTGCTGTGACCGGTGCACCGCGCTGATCCAAAGCCAGGAACCAGGTGCTTCTCCTGGTCTCCCATTGGGTGCAGGGCCCAAGCACTTGGGCCATCCTCCACTGCACTCCCGGGACACAGCAGAGAGCTGGACTGGAAGAGGGGCAACCAGGACAGAATCTGGCGCCCCGACCGGGACTAGAACCCTGTGTGGCGGCGCTGCAGGCAGAGGATTAGCCTATTGAGCCGCAGCGCTGGCTCTCTGTCTTTCAAATGGATACAGATGTGTTAAAAGAAACAAACAAACCGAGAGCTGGGTGCCCAGTAAGCGTGTTGTTTCTTTGAGATCATCAATACTTTTTAACCACCCACAATGCACCAGGTGCTAGCACTTAACCCTAGGGACACAACCGTGACAGTGCCACATGTGGCCTCTGTTGCTGTCAGCTGGCTGAAGAAGCGGCTCCAACACTCGCCAGCTCTTCTGCCTTGGGCTTCAGCCTCCCCAGCCGGAAAATGGGGGTAATTAGCACGCGTCCTGAGGGCACCATGAGAATGAAGCGCAGTAACCCGCTTTTAGAGAC